CATTGATGACACGGTGATCACAAGCAGTGATTTATCCTCTACGCGTGAGGGATCCAGAGAAGAGGCGCTGCAACAAAAAGAAACAGAGAGTCACGACCCCTCATCATCCAAAGGATTGACACAGGAGGCACTCCCCGATGTACAGCAGTCACAAATCTCTACTTCTGAAAATATTAAAACGGGTTGCGGAGAAGAGGCATCGAATTGCGAAGATGAACAATCGGTGGAAAAGGCAACATTGGGAAAAAAGGATTTGACGGTAGCCAAAGCACAAAAACCTCCAGCGACGCAAAACACGAAATCAAAAGACAATGAGGAGAACTCAACGGAAGCATCAAGTACGGAATCTGAGAATACGGAACCCCAACAAGAAATAAAAACGCCAGTGGATGAGAGTGACAGTACGAGCACCGATGCATCCACAGCGGTTGCCGCACGGAGTACATCAGCCGGCAGTCAAGAAGAAGCAACTGCGTCATCTTCCAATGGCAGTCATTCTCCACTTCAGGGGGAAGTATTCACTGGAACGGACACTCCCGAGAATGCTCCATCTCCGGCTGCCGCAGAAACAGAAAAACGCCAAGGAGAAAATGTGACGACACCCGGCGACAGCGACAGCAGCCCCGCGGCTTCCCACACCACCTCCCCTCTTTTGCTTGTTGTTGTTGCGTGTGCGGCTGCTGCTGCGGTGGTGGCCGCGTGAGAGTGAGGGAGAGAGAGCCGTGCACCGCCCGCACACACACTCGTCCTTCTCTCTCTGTGTGTGTGTGTCCCCTTGCATGGACTCTCGCCCTCACCTCACCCCACGAGGCACACACATAATGTGCCCATTGTATATATGCATGCGCACCCATGCAGGCCCGTTGGTGCTCTCTTTTGCACGACACGCACCGCTGCCGTCCTGCCTGTCTGCATGGGCGGAGCACCGTAACTGTTTCTGTTTTGTTTTTATTGCATTGAGTGGGCGACCTCTCCCTCTCTCCCTGTGTGTGTTTTGCTTTACGGGAGCAATGGGAGTGTGTGTGTGCTGGTCGTCCTACCTGTTGCTGCGCGTCCCCACTGTTGGGTGGACGCTCCCACGCTTCGGCTTCCGTAATTTGTATTTGTGTGTGTTTTTGGTGTACTCTGATTGTGTTGTGGTTGAGTGCACCCATTCCGCGGCTGCGTGTGTGTGATGATATGAGTAATTTGTGTGTGTGCCATCCGCTTCTTTTTGCCGTTGCTTTCTTCAGACTCTCTTGTGGCACACAGCTGCTCTGTAAGTATAGGCGCTGACGAACACACACGCACATGCGCACACGCTATGGAGCGGGGTGAACGCTGAGGACGCACGCACACGATTCTGGCTGCGGCGGCCCTTGGGATGAGGGAGCCTGCAACGCCTCTTTTCTTTGCGTTGATGCGGGCGTAATGTTAGCAACTTGCAGGCGTTTTACTTTGTGTGGGATTAAGGATGCCTGGTACAACTGCGGATGGATTTCCATCCAGCAACTGCATGTGCCGACGTTTCTCTTCCGCTGTGGATACGTCGGCGAGGGATACTCCGGCTGTGCGGGTGCGTTGGAGGGGAAAGCGGTGAAATAACTGGCGGCGGTAGCGCGTGGGTGCTGCGGAGGGCGGTCGTGCACTTTTTCATCCCGTTGGTTGTTTTATGTGTGGGCGTCGCTCGGTGTGTGCTGACGCGTGGCAGAAGCACCCGCCGTGGCTTCTACTGCTGGTGGTGGCCGTCGCTGTGTGTTCTCGGTGCACTGTTCTTCCTTCTCGTTCCTTGTGTCTGTGTGCGTGAGTTGTTTTTGTTGGGAGTGACTGCGGCGGGGATGGTGATGCCACTCACAGTGGATGGGTGGCGGTGCTCGCTG